AAGGCGTAAATTCTCCTTCTATCTTCCTTAGTCATTGTCCAACTCTCTGATGCATAACAAATGATTGCAAAGACCATAGCCTGTATCAGACTAACGTTTATAAATATTGCTGAAGTTATATTCCATAAAGCTGTAGTAGTTAATATTTTCACATACTAATATATGTGAGAAACTTACATACTCCCAGTTCTTGTCAACCTCCTAAATTTTGGTCAGAATTTTAGGTGAAAATATATTGCCTCACTGCTGTTTTAGTTTGTATTTTCCTGTCATCTAGTTACACTGAGCTGAAAATTAACTTCATCACTCACCAAAATAAAGCAGAGTTTCTCCAGTGATGTCATGACTAGGTAGATTTCTCTGGGAAAGCTTTAAAGTGTTCAAATCTCTGTTGACTTTTCCTTTACTTAGAGGACCAAGAGTTTGGTCAAAATTATCAAGTTCCAGGAAGAGGGTCCTTAAAGGGAATCTTCTTTCAGTTAATGATAGGCATCAGGAAGACCTGGAGTAAAGAGAGCTTTCCAAAGTCAATGAGAAGGACCACTTGTAACATCACATCCAGAAAATCTAGGTTGGGCTTCCTGTCAGGTTTCTGAATGCACAGTTCAATAAAGATTGGAGAAGAGACCAGAAAGAAAGAAGGTGGACAGTCTTTTTGTAGGATCCTATGAGTCTCACATAACACCAACAACATGGTGCTGGAGAAGAATATTGAACATACCATGCATTGTCAGGAGAACAAACAGGTCTGGCATGGAGAGGGTGTACAAGTTGCTCCTTGGAGGTAAGGATTTTGATGCTTCACCTCATATATTTGGGGCAGGTAGCCAGGAGGGCCCAGTCCTTGTAGAAGCACATCATGCATGGAAAGGTAGAGGGACAGCACAGGAGAGAAAAACCCTCGGTGAGATGGACTGACACAGTACCTAGGGTAATTGGAGTAGGTGTGTCAGAGTCAGTCAGACTGGCTCAAGATAGGGCAGGGTTCAGAGCTATTGTGCATAAGGTCACTATGTTTTGCAAGCAATTCAATGGAACATAACACAATACAATCCACGTGTATAGGCTTTGAAAATACATGATTCATCATTACCAGCCTGCAGATAATTTTTTATCTGAATGAGCATACAAGAGAATGCCTGGCAATGAACTTCACCTTAATTCCTCCCACACTTGTGTAGGGCATAGCTGACTCTCTGGTCATTCAGAGATGCTAATGACCAATTCTGGAAGTGTCTGTTGGTTCCATGCATCTTCCTCTGTACAGTGGGGAAGGAAGCTATCTTGATTCCTGCCTGAGAGGGGTATTTCTTCCTCTACATACAGTGAGTGGCTCACATCCACTGAGATAGGGCTTTACAGTGATGGGGGGGGGGACTGATGATGATGACAGTTGACAAGGAAAAAAGTATTCATAAGTAGTGGATAGAAAGATGCAGATGTGAGGAGTGGGAAAATCAACTAGGAATTCCCTTAAGCTAAGCACTGTAGTGACTCTGCAAATAAATTTCTAGAAATCAAAGCTATTAATGGTTATCAGAGATGATGTTATTAGAGAAGGAGAAAGGAGTCATTGCTTAGAGGGCACTGATGCTTCTATTAAGGGTAAAGGATACATTTGGAAATGGATAGTGGTGAAGGTTGCACAACATTATGAGTACAATAAATGCCACTGAATTGTACATGTAAAAATGAGGAATGCAAATGTTCATGTTATTTATCTATCTGTCTGTGTTCAAGTGAAATCATCACTCAGCCTGTATTTCATGGTTCTGTAATTATTTTCACACCAAAATGCAGATGAGCTATGCCTGTTTGCTTGCACTACACAGTAGAATAAGGGGCAAACCCACACCATAAATATATACAAGGATTTTATAGACCACTGGAGATGGTACCGTCCCTTTGTAAATTTAATGTTGGTGACTAGGATTTGAGTTCCAAAATGATATCTTTATTCTACTAATAAGCCTGACTAAATTTAATTAAAAGAATACTAGATCATGTACCAGCTATCTCCAAAGTCATCATATGATCTCTCTCTCATTGTTGTCTAGTTGGAACTAACTCATAAGTGGCCCTTCAGCAGGTTTTGGCACGTTGTAAACAACTTGGAAGAGGATTATTTATCATTCTCCCTTGGAGCTGATGGTGCATTTGAACCACTAGAGAGGCTCCACCTTTGTATCAGTGCATCTTCCCACTAACTAATCTACCAGAAACCCTACATGATATATACTCTTGAGTCAGAACTGACCCATAGCTGACCCTGCAGTGGGTTTTCAGAGGCTGTAAATCACAAAGGAGAAGATTACTCATCTTTTATTCTGCCGAGCATCTGGGGGGTTCAAGCGGCATGTCTTTGGATTGACAGTGCAACATTTTACCCCTAAGCTACCAGAGCTCCCTCACGATTTTTAGTGACTGAAATAAAATGTCAATGTATAAATCCAGCAAAGTGGACAATCATACCGGATTCAGGCCAGTAGAGGGAGGAATCTTGGGTCATACTAAAAATCAAGGAAGCTTTGGTGGTGGTTTCCTAAAGGAAGTTGACGGTAAACCAAAGGCTGAGCTTCTCTGGCTGTTTGAATGGACCACTCCGTAGGAGAAAGATGGGCTTTCTCTTCCTGTGACATTTGTTGTTGTTATGTGCCATCAAGTCGCTTAGGACTCATAGCAACCCTATGTGCAACAGCCCTGAACCTGCTGTATCTTGTGCCAACCTTACTGTCTCTGACACTCCTTTCCCCATTACCCCAGTCACGGAATCAATCCATCTCATCGAGGGTCTTCTCCTCCTGCTCTGTCCCTCCACCCTCCCAAGCATGATGTCCCTTCTCCAAGGACTGTTCCCTCTTTGAAATATGCCCAAATTATGTCAGACGAAGCCTCAGAATCCTTGCCTCCAAGCAGCAGCCTGATTTCACCTGTACAGTTTATAGTCTCCAAAAACCTGCTGGAGGGTCCGTTAAGAGTCGATTATGACTCCAAGGCAAAGAATTTTTAAGTTGAGAATAGAAGTAAAGATAAAAATCTTCAGCTACGTCTCAAGGTTGGGGGGGGGGAAAGCCCTCCGTCCTAACAGGTGCGGCTAAGGGGCGTGACCTGAAAGGTAGGCGGATGTGACGTAGGATGACTTCCTGTTCACGGAGCTGAAGACCGTTAACCCGTTACCTCAGCCTGAGGGTGCGGCACTTGGTCAGCGCGGGAATCTTAGTGTGACGTAGGTAAAGGCCCCAACTGTGATTCAGTAGACCTCTCTCCCACAGAGTTTAGCATTGTCCGCGCCCACCAGTCTGATGCATCCATTTCTCAGCAACCCGTTAGTAAACTGTTGTCCTTCTGAGGGAACCCAGAGACGCGAGGTCACTGGACAGGGGTTTTGCTTCAAGACTGGTGTAGGGAGGGGTTTGGGCTCCAAGTGTCAGAGATGGTGAGGATGGATGGCAGAGGGTGGGACAGGGTTCAGGTCGGCTGTTTATAGGGTCTTTGTGAGGCTTTCTCTATCGGAACGGCACATAACAATAATAAGTGAAAAGGGATTTCTGGTGGCACATGCCGTGGGGATTGGCGCTGCTCACCCAAAGGTGTCTACCCTCTGGTGTTTGGAATTTACCAGCCACTCAGGGACGAAAACGTGCTGGAGGGTCAGCTATGAGTTGGTTCGTAACCCGTGACAATGAGTTGAATAAGTTAAACAAAATGGAGCCCTGCTAACTGCAAGGTTGGGTGTTTGAATCCACCAGGCACTGGACTCCACAAGGAGGGTAGAGATGAGTCGGAACACACTCAGTAGCAATATATTAGGGTTTTTATGATATTGGTGGATAAGAGCGAGGATGCTATGTAACACCTGAGGGAATTACTTTCAGAACAGCGGACTCCTCAAAGAGCTCCATCTAAAACTGCCGTGGAAGGTCCAGGATGAGGGATTGGAAAGATACGAAGCTTTTTGATGTTTTAGGAGGTCTGGTGACGCAGTGCATAACTTGTTGGGCATGCTAACTTAAAACATTGGCACTTTGATTCAAAAAGATGAGGGAGAGAGCTGTTCAAAAGGGGTATGTGATTAGGTATTATTGTCATGACAGGTGTCCAGGACAAAGGCTGCATAGTAGAGTAGACTTGAGGGGAGGGATTGTATAACAATGAAGAAATTTTACTTTTCAAAACGAAGGCTGCATAGTGGAGTGGACTTGGGGGAGGAATTGTATAACAAGGAAAGAATTTTACTTTTTGAAGAGAAGAGTGAACTGGGGGAAAAGAGGTGGGTAGGCATAAAAGTGCAACGATGAATAAATGGAAATCCAAAATCTCTGTATACTTTCATTAAAATTAATAATGAAAAAAAAAACAACCATTGAAAGTTTGAATCCTCCAGCTGATGTGTGAGATAGAGCTGAGGAAATTTGTCAAGATGGACAGCCTCAGAAACCCGATGCAGGGTTGCAATAAGTAGAGGTTGACTCAACAGAAGTGGGTTTGGGTATCAGGAAGTGGAAAGGGTGGTGTGATCCCATCAGATTGAGGAGTTCCAGACATGCCAGAGGGAAAAGTGAATATCCTGAGTGAGGTCTGAAGGAAACATTAAATCAGGAATAAATTAGGCTCAACATAGCTCTGCTCCTACCATTCTCTCCTTTAGACAGGTTTGTGAGGCTGAGGCAGTACCTTTGTGCTTGGGGACTTTCAGAAAGTTCAGGTCTCAAGTCCAATAGAGGCATCATCAGGCCATTAAAGGAAAGGGTCTCAGCCCTTTTAACAGTCCATGTGAGAACCCTGACCAGGGACTTAAGAGGCTCTTTCCTCACAAGAGGAAAAGAACAGGACACAGAGTGCTCTCATTCAGTGTGAGTGCCACATGACTTTCAACTTAGGAATTTTTTTTTAAATTTTTCCATTAAAACCAAGATACTGTGTCTCTGATCAGAGGGTGTACACCATCTCCTCCTTTCTCCTCCAGGTATCCACATCGCTTGTGCCAGAAAAGACTCATCATGCCTCGAGGTCATAAAAGTAAGCATCGTGCCAAGGAAAAACATAAGGACCACAAAGAGATACTCAGTGGCTTTAGTGATCAGGCTTTTGCAGCCCCTGAAGAGGCACGCCCCACCTCTTCCTCTCCTCCTTCTGAGAGTAGTTCCCAGAGTTTGCTAGCTTCTGAGTCATGTTCTGCAACCATGTCTGCTCCAGCTATTTCATGCACAAAAGCTAATGGAGATGCCAGCATCCAAAATATTTCAAGTTTGTGTGATCTCCAGCTCACTACTCTAGAAAAGAAGGTGATTGTATTGGTGGATTACATGCTGTCCAAATATCAAATGAAAGAACCTTTTACAAAGGCAGACATTCTGAGAGATGTCATCCAGTTGTATAAGCACCGCTACTTTGAGATCCTCAGGAGAGCATCTGAGTACCTGGAATTGCTCTTTGGCCTTGACCTGAAGGAAATGGACTCTAACAGGCACATTTATGTCCTGGTCAACAAATTAGAGTTAAGCTGTGAAGGAAAGCTGAGTGATGAAAGAGTTGTGCCCAAAACAGGTCTTTTGATGACGGTTTTGGGTGTGATTTTCACAAGGGGTAACCGTGCCAGTGAAGAGCAAATTTGGGAAGTACTCAATTCAATGGGCTTATATGCTGGGAAGAATCACTTAATCTTTAGAGATCCCAGGAAGCTCATTACAAGAGATTTTGTGAGTCAAAAGTACCTGGAGTACCAAGAGGTGCCCAACAGTGATCCTTCTCGCTTCGAGTTCCTGTGGGGTCCCAGGTCACACGCTGAAACCACCAAGATGAAAGTTCTGAAGTTTATGACCAAGGTCCATAATACCAACCCTAGTGCCTTCCCAGCCTGGTATGAAGAGGCTTTGAGAGATGAAGAAGAAAGAGCAAAGGCCAGAATTGAAGCCAAAGCTTGGATTAGTGCCATGGCTGAGGCACGTTCCAAGGCCTTTTCCAGCACCCTCTCTTGTCCTAAGTAAAATAGAACAGTATTCTAAGTATTATCGGACTATTTGCTTGGCATTGGAAACAGCGTAGTCTTTATAATCTTTATGCTCTATTCTGTGGTATCCTGAATGTTCTGGAAAAATTGCTGGTTTTTTTATTAGAAAGTCTATGAGCTTCAAAGTCTTTATTAATGAATAATATTAAAAATATTTGCTGTGTGGTTTGAATCCACCAGAAGCTTTACTGGAGAAAGAGTGGGCAATTTCCTCCTGTGCCAGTAGGATCTGACTTGACAGTACACAAGAAAAAAAAATTTGTTATGTCTGAATCTTAAGAATAAGGGTTATATTCTTGTAAAACAAGTTGGGAAGTATCCACTTTATTTCATCATTTATAATAAGATAAAATTGCATGGAAAAAAGCATTTCCTCAGAAATAAAGAACTTAGGAGTAAACTGACATCAAGATAAAAAGAAAAATAAAAGATGATAAATACTTGCTTTCACTTATTTCTATTCTGTAAAATTAAAATATGTAATGAAATCTCTTTAATGTGTTAGAATGTAGACAATAGTTTTAATAAACTAGACCTTTTAATTACTGACTCTATTATTTCTTCAATATTAATTACCTACTGTTTGGAAGGCTCCATGATACAACTGGAAATGCCAGGATGAACAAGATCTACTTAGTTTTAGAGTCTTGTTGAGTAGCCTTGTACCTGTTCTCACTCAATTGACAATGCATCTTGGCTTTTCTCTATTCTATCATTGGATTTTTTACCATATGCTACCTCCTGAAACAATATTGGCTGTCAATGATATTGGCAACCATATTGGTGCTATTAGTTGATGCTAACTCATGCCTGCCTTATGTACAATAGAACAAAACCCTACCCAATCCTGTATGATCTTCACATCTCTTGTGTGTGTAAGCCCATTTTTGCACTCACTGTGTTGCTGTATGTCTTTGAGGGCCTGCCTCTCCATACTTGACCCTCTAGTTTTCTAAGAATATTGTCCTTCTCCAAGGACTGGCCCCACCTAATAACATGCCAAAACTATGTAAATTGAAATCTTACCGTCCTTGCCTTCAAAGAAGCAGCTGTTGGATAAGGAGAATGAGGAGAGAAATCTTGTCATTTAAAGGACAAATAGAGAGTTTTGGTGACTTAGTGGGTAAGAGGTTGCACTGCCAACTCTAAGACAGTGAGTTTGTATCCACCAGCTTCTCCACAGGCAAAAAGATGGGTAGTCCCTTTCTGTGTGAGTTATAGCCCCTAGAAACTGACTGTAGTATCAGCTATGAGTTCTGGTTTAAGGGCACATAACGCAAACAACAAAGGACAAATAAGATGAAATTTGAAGAGATGTGGGAGAAGATTCAAGTGTATCATAGGAGATACCACTATGGTTGAGTTGATACTCAGTGACCTCATGTGCTAAAGAATAGAAATTTCCCATGACATTTTGTTGACTATGATCTTCCCAGATGCAGATTGCTAGGCCCTACTTCTGCAGTTCTGCTGGGCAAGTTACTGTGGATTCAGAATTTACTCCAGCTGTAAATTATGTGAGAGGAGATTATCCATCTTTATCCTGCATAGCTAGTGCATTTGAACTGCTATAGAAACACCAATCTTGGGTTAGCATTGCAACTGCCCTCAAAGTAGACCAGAGCAGTCTGTGGAAAACTGCTTGCACCATGTAGGGAACTAATGCCCAAGATTTGGGGCTTAGAAATCTGCATATATTTTAGTACTAGCTTTGTGGTAAGTGAGATCTTAGATAAAACATTGACCGTGTTTAGCAAGGGACAGATCCTCAGAGGGCATGTCACATATCTTAAGTTTAGAGGAAATGGAAACTGCTTTTAGTAGTTACATTGGGAGTAAAGAAAGCTAGAGTGAATTTTCTATCTGGGAAAGAGTGAGAGGTATACTGGGCTATTGTTTCAGTGCAGTTGAATACAATGCACAAACTGTTTCATGCACATTACGTCCAGGAAGAGTCTAACTAAATATGGTGGTCACTTGACATCAGATGCTGAGAAGCCACTGGACTGGTAATCTTGGCTCTGGCCTGGGAGAAGCAGAGCCCACTTGATTAAAAGGGCATTTTAAATTAGGTTATCTTAACTGTTGTTTAGCCAGCTCTAAGCAAGGAATTTCTTTTTGCCTGAGATTAGATAAATGCATATGTGATACAGATAAAAGGGAAGTAGGGAGAGTAGGAAGGGGAAAGTCCTTGACTCAAATTCTAGGAGCTTTGAGGTACCTCCAGCTGGGGAAAACTCCCCCACTCTCAATAAATAACGCATCCTTAAAATTTTACTTAACCAAGTAGCTTATTTTCACCCTCTGAGCAGCATTTTGGCTGATATGTCTTGTCTAGAGTACTGCATGTTCTCTGATAATTCTTGGGGGCGGAGTGTGTGTGTGTGTACGTGCCCATGTGTATGGTATGTGATTTCTAGAGGAATTTTGTAGACTTTGTGTCAAAACTGTGAAAGTAATAGCTATTCATATACCATATATCCATGGCACAGTCATTGTGTCACTCTCATGAGATAATGGGCAAGATGACCATGATGAAGCCCAATTCACAGGTGAAGAAACTGAGACCCTGAGTTTGACAGTTTCCCAGAGATTGAATACATATTCTCTCTCCATTGTTTCCACTGGCTTTACATGAGCTGTAGTAAAATGAATGGCAGTGTAATTGGTTAAATGTTGGGCTATTAAAGCAAAAGGTTGTGGTTTGGACCAACCAGCTGCTCTATTGGGAATAAAACAGTATACTCTAGCAAAGATGATTTTATAGCCTAGGAAACCCTATGTATGAGCCATTCTACCCTGTATTTACAGCATCACTGTGTGTCGATATTTGACAGTAACTAGGTATTAAAATGTGTATCACTGTATCAGTTTTCGTTGTTACTTGAGCCTCAGGGTAGCAGAGGAAGCCCTAACAGCAATATAAGTGAACATCCTGAAGGTCTGAGAAAAGCCTGAGTACTGGCGTCTTCCTTGCGAAGACATGGCTTGCCCTCAGGTGCCCCCTTCACTGCATACTCTGCACGCTGAGGATGGGGATGACTTTCTGTGTGTGTTTTTCTAAGAGGAAGACCTCTCACGTGTGGAATAAAGGTCAAAAACATGAGTGAGGACATAGTGGACTTTCTCCATTAGAAAAGTGGGGATACTAATCAAAGCATTATCCCTGCTTGTGGACCCTGGGAGGCTTCAGGCGGGGAAGCAGGAATTGGCTTCTCCGGACTTTCATCTCTGTGAGAGAGGAAGCAATGTGCCAACCAGAGTCTAGGTTCTTCCAGGAGGTAGGAGACCCCCCAGAGAGCTTTTATATCCGTGTTGGCCCACCTTAGATTGAAGAGGGTGGTGGTCCAACCGAGTCCACTATGGTTTTGAACTATCTTGGCATTTCTTGCCTGATTGCATACCCTATGAATTCTCCTCATGGGGTTCCGGGAAGGTGAAGGTTTGGCCCAAGGCTTTGTCCTCACACAAGCCTAATGAGGGAGGAATCTTGGACTCTGCCGCAAGTTGAGCCCCTGAGTAAAGTCTGAAGGATGATTTACGCCAAAGCAGAGGACATCATGACAGCTCCATTCCCACTGGCAGCTCAGAGAGGGCTAGGTCACGAGTGGCCAAGTTTGGAACACTTTGGATACCATGGACACGAGTAATAGTGAGGGAACATTGGTGATGTCGCTGGTTAGCCCAACAACTCTATTAACCTAGAGTTGATGCCCCTCTGGAGGTCTCCTCCCATGCAATTTACATTACAGTCTCTGAAAACCTGCTGCACGGTCAACTATGGGTCTCTTCCGACTTTGCTACAGTGACTTAACTTGAATAAAGTATTATGTCGCATGAACACAGTTGTTGTTGTTGTTGTTATGTGCTGTCGAGTCACCTGTGACTCATAGCGACCCTATGTGCAACAGCCCTAAACCGTGCTCTATCCTGTGCCAATCGCATTGCCTCTAACACACCCATCCCGATTACCCCAGTCACTGAATCAATCCACCTCATAGAGGGTCTTCCCCTCCTGCGCTGTCCCTCCACTCTACCCAGCATGATGTCCCTCTCCAAAGACCCGTCTCTCCTTACATGTCCAAAGTATGTCAGACGAAGCCTCAGAATCCTTGCCTCCAGGGAGCCGCCCAGTTTAACCATTTCCAGGATGAATCTGTTTGTTTTCTTTGTAGTCCATGGTACATTCAATACTCTTCTCCAGCACCACAGCTCAAAGGCGTCAATTCTCCTTCTCCCTAGTCATTGTCCAACTCTCTGATACCCACCCTTAAAAACACACACAAAAATCCCTACAACCAAGCAAACCTCTTTTTTTGAAAATAGGGAACTCTAGTAGGTCTAGTCCTTAGGAGTTGCATTCTTTTTTTTTTTTTTGGCGTTGCATTCTTAACTCAAAGGCAGCACCTCTCTGGCAGTTCAAATCCACCAGCAGTGCTGCAGGAAAATTTACAGCTTCCAGAAACCAACTGGATGAGTCAGTTCTAACTCGACAGCAAGAAAAAATGATTTTAAAATGATTTTGTTAATATTAAATAGTTTTAGACTTACAGATAAGTTGCAAAAATTGTAAGTGTTCCTGCATCCCTAGCACCTGCTTTTTCCTATAGTTAGCATCGTATAGAATACATTTGTCACAAGTAATTAGCCAATATTGATATGTTATTATTAACTATTTTCATGTATTTTAGGGGAGTTTTAGTAGCCTAGTGGGTAGGGAGTTGTATGGCCAACCCAAAGTCATGCTGTTCGAATCCACCACCTGCTTCTTGAGAAAAATATAGGCAGTCTCCTCCCATGTGATTTTTCAGCTTCTAAAAGCTGGCTGGAGGGTCAGCTATGAGTTGATCCCTACTGGAGGGCAATCAGTGTTTTAGTATACTTCAATGATATTTCTATAGTTTTTTTCCTGTCTTTGTTAGCTAAAGATCCTTTTCTGCCCCAAGATAATTTCTCCTTAAGCTCCTCTAGAGAGTA